TTTCTATTGCTTTCTGATTTGACAGAATTAATGCCAAGTTGAAAGATGTTGTATTTGCATTTTCTAACAATATTCAAAAAACAGATGGGTAATAGCATAGTATTTACATGTATCATAATTATGGTTTGGGGAATTTGAATAGATACTTTTGTGTTTCAGTCAAATAAACGCATTATCAGAAAACATTTCCATTATCTAATATGTTCACTTAGATTTGTTGAATAATAAATTTCTTTAGTTTTTTAAATTTTGTGTCACATGTAATTGAATTGTGATAAATTAGATTTGACATTTTAGTTCTGCTTGTCATGTTTTGCTACCTTCAGCATAGAATAAAAAGTAGCCTTTAGTCTTTTGTTACGTAAAAGTTGGTAAAACACCATTTCCCTGACAGGTTCATTAGTCACTGTGTGAGCATAAAGCTATATTTCCATACTTGACATGCAAAAGTAAATGGATATTTTCCTATATGCCAGCCATCATCCAGTTAGATATAAAATGTAAAATACTGGAATTCATGTTAAAGCCATTTGAAGATGCATAGATATGTGTGTGCACACACTTACAAACACACACACACACACACACACTCACAAATGTATTAAGCTGGAAGAAAACTGAGCATAAACTAGTTAGTACTAGTGTATTTAAACTTTTAGAATAGTCACAATTTTTGAATTTTATTTATTTCTGATAAAACTCAGGAATCCTAGAAGAATATATATGTTGAAGTTTCTTAGGGCATTAATGAAATAAAAAAACCCTAATAAGCCAAGAAAATGTTTGATATATATTTATGTACAAAAGAAAATCTTCACTGATTTACTCTTACTGTACTCATGAGAAAGTGTGGGTAGCATTTCTGAATATTTACTGAAGCGAAGGAACAGTACTGTTTATTTCTACAAACTTTGGTCTGATAAGTCAGTAAACAGTGCTGGGATCTTTCATCATCTTCCAGAGTAGAAACTAAGAGAAAGGGCTCTAGAAGCACATAATTGGACCAATCCATGCAAATAATTTGCTTGGTTGCTCTAATTCAGGAAGATCATTTCAAAATGCACCTCATGGACTGAAATATCTTTTTCTCCAGATCAAGGCAAGGCAAGGCCCAAACTAAGAAAAACTATTTAAGGCTAAAGAACACAATAAACTTAGAAACATGTCTTTTCCTAGAATAAATAGTTCAGTGAAATGTCACAGAGGCTTGGAAAATATCCTATAGATAAAAAGACGAGACTTTATCACAGTAAAGAATACAACAATTTTCTCTCTGTATTAGGTTTTTAATGGAAGCAAAGCAATATTCTGTTTATGATGTTCATAAAATAATTACATTATATATTATATCTATGTTTTAGATATTAATATATTCATTAAAATTCTAAAAAAATTATTTTTAAGGGTAAGACTTTTCAAAAATAATCAAACATGTCTCATACACAAGTAATCAATTTTCTCAAAAGATGGATTTATTCTTTTTTGTTTGTATCACACATAGTGAACATGTCTTTCACACAAAACAACAGAAACAAATGACATTCTCAAAGTATCTTTGTGTGAGTGTTGTAGTCAGCGTTTTCAAGGAACAGGTTTAATACAAGATATGAATTGTTAGGATTATCTTATAATATTTACTCTAAAAGTCAAATGCACAAGAATATAAGTGGTCTGTCTGCATGCTGCAGACTCAAAGATTCCAGCTGAGGGTCTGGATCCCACAGCAATATTCTGCAGGAATCCAACTGAAGACCTAGAACAATGTCTTATGCAAGTCATAAAGGTGGAAAGTCACTACTGGAAAGGGCCAGTAGTGATATTAGAAAGTCTACACCTGCAGAGTGAATGATCTGTGCCAGAAGGCTGAAGGACCTCCTATGGAGCCAGGAAGAGACCCTTAAGACAAAAGAGAAGACCAGATTTCCCCTAGAGCAACAAGCAGCCACCCTCAGTGACAACGAGGACTCCACATGAGCCGACAAGTTGGCATCAAGAAAATCAACACAACAGACTAAGAAATCAGAAGCACGCAGTTGAGTTACCAATCTCCTTTTATTTACATTGTTCAGGCAACAGCCCTCTGGTGGGTCTTCCTTGGCTAGAAACATGCTCACTCGGTTCAGCTGGGTGCTCCCACTTAAAATGACCATTACTTAATCCACTCCTGGTTAATTTAATAACCAGACCCCATCTTTTAAACCGTAGTCCCCAGTATCGGGTTTGTGAAAAAGTTAACATATCTTGATCTACTCACATTTACATTAATATAACAATTACATGTATATGATTCTTATTGTGCTTGTTCCACACCAAAAACAAGCATCAAATTGTTCTCAAAACCTGACTAAATAACCTTATTACAAACAGGTGTCTAAGACCTACATGTGTATGTGCTTTGCAGTAACTCCCAGCTGTCAATTTATTCTAAAATCTTATTTTATAAACAATCTATACTTTTAAAAGTTAATAATTGTCTTCCAGAGTGCAATATACCAATATGATGCATTCACATTAAAAAATATAGCTTCAAGGTTTAAAACTCCTTTGGTTTCCATTTATATACATGATTTAGCAATACTTAAAAACCAGTATCACATACATAAAGATCGTATTTTTACACTGAAATCATACTATGAGAAAGTTATTACAATCATATCCTTGCTTTCCATTTACTTTAACAACTGAGCAATGCAACATTAAAAGATATCCTTAGTGATTTCCTGCACTATAAATATGCTCTTCCCTTCTGGTAATAAGCTTTAGGCCATTCAGGTCATTTTCCCCCCATTGTCCTGTTCCCACTATACAACCACATTCTCTGTTTCAGCCTTGCAATCCACAGCTCCACTGAAGGCTCCTCTCTGGCCAAACTCTTCAAGTCACCCTGCTGGCTCACCATTCTTAATTTCCAACATAGATTCATCCAAAATCCATCAACAGTAACCACTTCACTGTCCTAACACTAGACTGCGTTGACATTTTTTCTGCCATGCAGGAAATATTTCTAAATGCAAGCAAAATACAGACTAACCTTCTATCAAAGCACAATACACTGATAACAGTCCTTTTTCCCAGCAGAAATATCCTTAACCTCACCTAACCCTCAGCATTTCCATCACTATTCTGGTTTCCTGCGCTCTGACCAGTCTCCCATATAGTTTAGAGCATTTCGTGGCTGCCCCTTCTGTTGTTCTCTCAGAAGCTTTCCAAAATAATCTCAAAAGCTCTTAAGCCAAAGAACCAGGCAACACCACAGTGATGACCTCATTCTCACACCAAATTTGTATTTGTCAGTGCTTGGGGAGTCAGATAAAGAGTGCAAACATATGCCTTTGTGCTGGAAATACGAAGGATTCAGTCAAGGGCTTGAAGCCCATGGGAGTGTTGCATGCAAGTCCCTGTCAAGGATCTGTACCAGAAAGGCCCAAAAGCCAACGCTGAAAGCTAGAAAATCTGTGGGAGTAGGGTGGAGCCTCTGTGCCAGAAGGCTGAAGGTCTGCATTGAAAGCCAGATGATGTCTAAGTGGAAACCAAGAACCGAAGTTCTCCTCAAAGAGGGCAACAGCCAGAGCTCCTATGAAAGATAAACATCAAAAAACAACTTCTTCTCCTCTTGTTCTCCTTTTATGTCCTTCCTGGAACAATCATTGGGTGTGTTTTCTACCCCCAGTACCACAGTGACCCAGTTCAGATGGGGGTCTGCAAACTCAAGTTGACCACTGATTAATAAACCACAGTAAATACTGTTTTACTTTTTAATCTAAAAAGCATTGCCATAATTACAACTACATGAAAATCTTCATGTAATAAAAAGCAACTGTCTATATTTTTCTTCCACACAAGGATCAGAGCAATTTTATGCTCTTTTATTAATAATCATGCTGCTATATGCATGAGTATATGTGCATCAATTTCCCTTCAAATGACCCAAATTTACTGTTCTTCATGATAAAGTAGCATTCCTTTGTTTATAAATACCACATTTATTCAATCATCAGATGATGGACTACTTGCAAAATTTGTTTATTATGCGTTGTGCAATGATGTTCATGTGTATGTATCTATCACTGTAATATAGTATCTTTAACTCTGTGGAGAAGGCATTTATATTTATTTATTCATGATTTTTGCTTCTGAGCAGTGTCTGTTCTTTTTAGTTGCCTATTTTGTGACTGAGTCTTGTGGGGGTTTAGTTATTTTTTTGTTCTTTACATATTTTTGATATTAGTTCTCTGTCCAAGGAATTTTCCCCATTGATAGGTTGACTTTTTACACCATTGATTATTTCTTTTGTTGTGCAGAGGTTTTTAGTTCGACAGGATCCCGCTTGTTGATTTTTCATGTTATATCCTGTACGATTCGGATTTTGATCAGAAAATGCTTATCTTCAACGGTTTTAGCCATTTTATCTTCCAGAAGATTAAGTGCTTCTGTTTTAAAATTCAGGACTGGATCCATTTTGATTCTAGACGGGGCACAGTAAAACATACTGGTCTAGATTTATTGTTTTTCCTGTGAACAGCGGTTTTCCAGCAATCATTTGTTAAAGAGTGCTGTTTAAAGAGTCCTCTAGTACTGTTTTTGGGTTATCTTGCAAAAAATTAGATGCTTGAATTTGATGGAGATTCTTGCTACATTCTCTATTCTGTTCTACTGATCTGCATGTGTGTTTTGTGACAATACCATGCTATTTTTATTATAGTAACTTTATAACGTAACTGCCAACTACTTAATTCTTGTTACTCAGAAATGCTTTTGCTATTTAATGTCTCTTCTGGTTCCATATGAATTTTAGGACAGTGTTCTCCAGGTCTGTGAGAATGACCCCAGACAAAGCTTAAACTTCCTGGGGATCTATGCTCAGCCTGAGTCTGTTCCATGCATGCCTCACGTGACTATCTCTCACCCAGTCACTCTGCAGTTCAACATTGCAAACCCTGCAGTGTAGTTGGTCTCTAGTTATTCTCATGTTATTGTTTTAAAGCTATGTACTTTTAAAAACATGTGCCCTAAGCATGAAACAAGTTTGGCCACCAGCCAAGCATCAAGCTAGGATGAGAAAAGGCCTGTCATCTACTCTTCCCCTGACTGATACAAGAACAACATCACCAACAATGTGTCTCTGTGCTCATTGCAAGAGGGTCCTACTTATTTTTTTTTTTTTTTGACTTCAGTGTTTAATTCATTTTTATTTGGGCAACTGGTGATGAGGTAAATTTATGCCTAGTGTTTCCCTGTTTGTTTTTCTAACCTTAGTTTCTATTTTCTTTTGCACTATGTAGTATAAACCTAAATCATAAGCATAGATTCTCCATAAGATAGTTATTTTTAGAATAGCATTTCGATGGAGACTGTACATGCTATAGTAAACTATGTGCATATTCAAAGAGGTGAGGTCAAGGGGGAAGTTTATAATGGAAATGAAGAGATTTACATTGTTTTCTATTTCTAGTTTTGTCTATTTTGAGACTGTTTTCTGTTTCTATTTTTTGTCTTTTTTGAGACAGGTTTTTCTATGCAGTTCAGGCTGGTCTTGAATTCACTGTGTTGCCCACGCTGGCTCGGACTTTCAGCTATCTTCCTGCCTCAGCCTCCAAATTGCTGGAATTACAGATGTGTGCTGCCATGCCCAGCGACATAATTGTTATGAATCAATTATCTTTGGCTGAATGGATCAACAACAAAAGTGATATCAATTTAAAGATTGACAGGCAGTTGTTGGGCAGATATCCTTCTAGAAGAGAAATATTTTCTCTGCAAAGTCATGTTGATATTTGTAGAGGATTTACTTCTGGGAATTATTTGTGATAGTTCTTGTTACTAAGTGTATGTATATCAGGCTCCCTTAATCACAATCCAGATTTAATTTTTATCTATTTATCATAGATCAATAAAATCAGCTCCATTTTGATTCTGATAAGTTTTGTGATTGGTATTTACCAATAATTTGACCTTTTCATTTGAATTCTAATATTATTTCTGTTGGTATAGATGGCAGGAGACATTCGCAGCAATTCCCTAGGGATTAAAATTAACATATTAGCTATAAAAACCTACTTAATATTGTTCATTGTTTTGTCCCAGTATAGTTGTAATCCCTTCTATCTTGCTTATGTTATTTAGTGTTACCTCGATTCATGAGTTTAATTCTTTCCATGATTTTGTTCTCAAACTGAAATGCATGGGAACCTAATCAGATTTCCCCATAAGGTCTACATTGAAACTAACCACTGAATTTGATTCAGCTTTTATCTTATTTGGTCAAGAACCACATGAAGAATGTTATGCAGCTCTCTCTTTATCACACCAAAACCTGTTTTTCTTACTGTCAAGTAGATTTGAATTCACTTGCCTTTTAACATTACTTGAGTAATCATTTTGAATTTTACTTATCAAACTTAGTTTGTGATGTAATAAGAATACTTATTGTAAACTTTAAATGCCTTTGGCTTAGTAAATTTGTCTTGGTTACTTTCCTCTTCTCTATGACACAAATCCCTAGACTGGGAAGCAAAACAAGAAAGATTTATTTGGACTCTGTTTATTCAAGGTCAGCTGCAGTGGTAGTGGGGCAGAGCCAGAAGAGCTGCTTGCAATGGAGGACCGGAAGAGAGAGAATCCAGGAAGACGCACCCCTTCCCGGGACCGCCTCCTTCCACCAGGTCCGCCTTGCAAGATCACGCTTCCCTATAAAGTGATCAGCGCACTAATCCACTGGTGAGGGTCTTATCTCTAGTTCCATTCACCTCCCAAAAGCTGTATCAAGGGCACATGAGGCTTTTGTGGGACGGATATATGGATATAAAACATTACAAATTTATCGTCCATTTAACTTTCCAACCTCTTTTCTTAAGGCTTAACATTTTCACTAGTAATATTACTTTCCTTAAAGTTCTATAAAACTGAAAACCACTTAGTATATATTTTTTGTGCGTGTTATTCTATTTACTTTTGTCATCTCCTAGAAGCAAATTTATGTGGTTATGTAAGGAAACTTAATTATGTATAGTCTGCTGTATAGATTTGTGAATTCCATATCCCTAGATTAAACTATACTGATCAAAACATGAATATATCTAGAAAAATATGCACATGTACGGAATGTTTTCTGCTAAACAAAACTACTATATAACATCTATACTGCATTAAGTATTATAAGTAACATAGGCATGATTAAGGCATATGTGGGTATATGCATATGCTACACAAAAATAATAAGGACTTGTATACAAGGAACTTGAACATTTATGAATTTTGGTGTCATTGGGGATCCTGGAATCAAATGTACATATATATATATATATATATATATATATATATATATATATATATCCATATATTCGTATATCCTTATATGTATATCCATAAATTCATATATCCATATATAACATATACATATATGTCTGTTTACATATACACTTACAATTACATATAAAAACAAACCTACAGGCATATAATTTTATAAACTGAGATAGGAAAGTAAATGGGGTGAGAAATGAGGAAAAAAATTAAGACCTATTATGTACAGGTAAAAATTTTCTATGATGAATGTGATCATTGTATATAACAAATATGTACTAAATTAATATACCGCATTTTTAAAGTATATAGAGAGATATAACTATTGATATAGATTAGATATGATATATTGTGCCATGGTGACCTACATTTGAGTCTTTCCCTAGACTAGATGTTTATTGGTACAGTCTTTGGACCTTATCATTCAATTAATGTCTTATATAAATGCATTAATGTTTTAATAGCAACACTGAATAATTAAATACTTCAACATGCTAATATAGATGAAATCTATAATTTTTTGAGGCAGAAAACTGATATTAACTCATGTTCAACTGTGCTATCAAATGAAATCACCAAATTAAAAATTCATGACTGAGTTTTATGTACTTCCTACTATCTGATATTTTTGTTCTTCAAAATAATTTCTCTAAGGAATACAAGGATTTAAACTGGATATGAATAATCAATCTCATTTTCCTCTTGGACCCAGTGTTTGGGTTTAAACATTGTTGTAAGATTATGAAAACACAGAAACTGGATTGAATTTTAAATAAATTCACCAATAAATCCAATGGAGCTTGGTGTTTCCATCTCTCCTATTTTATTTATGTTTTATTCTCTCTTTGAAAACTCCCTGTATGAAAACAAACAAAGGTACTTTATGGTAACTGCAAATATTCTAAAACATTACCTAAGTATGCTTAAAATTTATTCCAAATGAAAGGGATTTTTTAGTGATGTGCGCTATTTATTTTAATAATGAAAAGGTATCAACAGCATAAGCTTTTCCCTTCCTGAAAGGAGCACTTGGTTATGAATGGATGCTTTTTGGATTAAGTTCAGGATTGAGCTGTTTTCAGAAAATTACTTCTATTTTGGCTGACATCCCAGGGATATTGGCACACTGTAATGACATTGTTGTTCATGGGCAACCTATAATTTTTTTCAAAATCAACAAATCTTACATATTTTTCAATGTCTTTAATAATGTGCTCTCACATTTATATTACAAAAAGAACACTTTTGCAGCTTATAATATTTATCATAATTTTTCCTGTATTCTTTCACAGCAGGTTAAACAATCTGATACATAACCCTTTTCCCTACTGCACATAAGCGTGTTTCTTGTCACTAACTCTAAAGAGCAGTGACTTTACGATACCTTATTTTTAAAATGTATTTAACATATTATCTCCTATATGATAAAGGTAGACTTTACTTTTTGTTTTCTTCCCATTTTTCATGACATTAAATTTGTCACAACAAAGTTACCATTAGCAAATTTTTAGTAAATATTTTGTAAATGATGCAAATTTCATAAAATCTTGACTTGAGTCATAGTCCCTAAATTTGACTATTCTATAAAAGAGCTCTTTTCCTTAGAAGTCTTTTAAAAATAGAAAGGAGAGAATATTTGTACTGTCAAAGGTTCTTCAAATCTTCAGTTATATAAATGTTACTTTGATAATTTTGAAAAAAAATAGATTCCTAAGACATTTTCCATTAGATTCTTTCTCTAATGTCTTGCCATGAGCTGTAATCATTTATAATTTTAAATAACTGACTAGATATTTCTGATATAGATAGATGAATTATTCTACTGCTCTAGACTCAAATTCCATTCCACACATGTCTTCAGGTTTTAAAAGATATTTTTCTTTCTAAACCATCTTTTTACTTGCTTTTACAAACACACAAACTCACTCACATCATTTAATTTGCATGTTGTTTATCAACCATTGTCAGAGACTATTTCAAAACTGATCCTAAGCTTTTCTTTGTCACTTTTCTGACAGGTGCTTGACTAACTGATGGCAGTGTTTGCCAAGAAAGTATTTATCTACAGCTTCAGTAGAACTGAATGTGACAAGAAATTGCAGTAGCAAAGACGTTCTACCACACTGCGTTAGCATTCTGAAGGAAATTACTTCCTTCATTTGAAGTTTAGAAGAAATATATAACCCAAATTTAGTGCTTAAATTATTTTTGGATGTAAAACTAAAATACCGTGCAATTATGGGACTGTTCTGGATTAAAATTGACAAGAGTGGCTTCCATACTCTAAAAACATCTAAATGTTGAAATGGGGTATTTGGGGGTCTAAGGATTAAAAAAAAAGAAATTGGATATTTTCATGCAAGTGTAGTAGATGACACCCTGTACAGAGATATTTTTTGGAAAGAAATCGTTTAAAGAATATTATTAAGTATCCATACTCTCAATTCATTTGGAACAAAAATGATAGTGGTTTAGTTTTCTTTCCTCTGTACACAGATACCGATAAGAGCTAGTTGTCTCTGTGAAACAGTATGGATTGGTTCGATATTTAGCTACCTGTGTTCTAGAATTTGAATTTCTGCCTATTTATTCTAAAGAATAGTACTGCTACCACGTTCACAGTAGCCATTATGTGAAAGAAACCCAAAGGTATTTGGGGACCAGATAGAGAAAATGTGTTATGCACATATAACATGGTATTCCTAACACTTACAAAAGGAAACTCCTAAAATATGCAAGAAAATCAATGAACTTGAAAGTTATAATGGTAAGTAAACAACACAGTTACAGACTGAAAATACTAATAAATTTGCTCTAAATATGTGAAATGCCTATAATGTCAA